CCCGGGTGGCCGAGACTGATGCCAAGTCCGTCTGCATGACCAGGACGGTGCCGGAGACCTGAAAGCCTCGCTGAGGAGGGGTGGAAGCGAATGAAGTGACACGTTGGGACTCCGAGGGACGACGTGTGGAATGTGCTGGGTGGAGGAGGAAAAAGGGCCCGAGAAAAGGGGTGTGTCATGCGAATGAATACGGCAGGGTGTGCCTGGCACCTCGGAGGTGCCGAGCGAAGTGCGGTGGCCGAGGCGGGCGGTCATTCCTTAGGGAACCTCCCGTGAGCGCGCGCGCTCTCTCTCTCACTCTGGGTGGCGCGGATCCACCAGACTGACACCCGCGCTCGAGAAGCCGCAGGGACTTCAAGAAATGGTAAGGCTGGCCTTGGTGAGGCCAGTACGGAGAAAGGGCCGTCCGAGGCCAGATGGGATCCCTGTCAGAACCAGGGGTAGGTGTGTCTGTGTTGCGGGAGGGTTCTGTGTGTTGAGAAAGGGAGGGTTTTAATTAACATATTTGTTGAAAGCAGCTGAACACCTCTCCCGAATGCTGGTTCAAAGGAATTAAAGAACATTAAATGTAGCAATGGTCTTGCTTACTAAACCACTTACATTTCATTACTTTGTAGTAGAACTCTGACTTTTATTATGTTCGATTACATGCAGTATTTGAAAATGGAACCAGAGTAAAGGTTTTTGTTTTGGGGATCAGTATTCACCTTTGGTAAGGATGAAATTTGGTACAGTTTCTCACTCGGTGCTCTTATTCACTTTCACTGGTAAACTCAGGTTATTTCCTTTAAGGAAATTACTTCTCAATTTACATTTCTCGTCCTAACTTTCCTTCTAAATATTGATTCTGCTTCAGCAACTCAAAGTTAGTTCTTCCATTTCTCATTCCCACTACCTCTGTGTTACATCTGGCTCTTCCCTCTTCTTATTAGCACAATAGCAATGGCTTCCAAACTAGACTCAGCCGGTCCCCCGCTTCCAGTCACCCAACCTCCATACTGCTTTTTAAAGCCAGAGGTCTTA